TTATTCCTCTCTTCATTCTTTCTTGCCTTATTTTTAGGATTATTAGTATTATAATACATTTTCTTCTTTATTGCTTTTCATTTATACAGGTTGAACATCCTTAATCCAAAAATTCAAAATCCAAAATGCTCCAAAATCCAAAACATTTTGAGCCCTGACATGATGCTCAAAGATCATGCCCAAAGAAAATACTCATCTGAGCATTTTGGATTTCAGTTTAGGAATGCTTAAGTAGTAAATATAATGCAAGTATTCAAAAATCCAAAATAATCCAAAATTTAAAACACCTCTGGTCCCAAGATTTCAGATAAGGGATACTCAACATGTATTATTTTAGGAGTTACCTTAGATTATAACATGAAGCTTTGACTTATTGCCGTCTTTCTTAAATTCATTAGTTTAACACTTCCCCAGTAATGCAAGGATCCTGCAACATTTTAATGCCATTTATCATCTTTTGCCCTTATTTATTTTGTCAGATATTTTACTTGTGCATATGTTAAAATGCCCCAAGACCTATTGTCTCCTTAACTAGTAACTTTCTGTCTACACTGTATGGTACTCTTTGTTTCATTTTTACACTCCTGTGCTTCATTTGGATTTTTTTCTTCAGCTTAAAATTATTTAATTATTTCTGTAGTACTTCTTATGGTTCCAGTCTGCTTTTGCTCAGTTTTCTCAGCTTTTGTTGCCTGAAGTGTCTGTTTTACCTTGTCTAAGGAATTATGATGCAGAATTCTAGTTTGCCAAGTTTTTTTTTTTTTAAGTATGTCATTCCATTGTTTTCCCAACTTTCATAGATTTTGCTGAAATATTTGCTGACACATATATTGTTGCTTTGTGAAGGCAGTGCCTTTTTTCAGTTAGCTGCCTTTTTTCTTTACTTTTCAGCAGTTTAATTGTGATTTGCCTATGTATGGATTTGAGGGTTGTCTGTGAATGTGCTTTGCTATTGCTGTTTTTTATTTATTCTGCTTGGGTTTTACCGACCTTTAATATGTAGGTAGATGTCTTTTCATTTGGTTACGAAAATTACCAGCCGTTACATCTTTCACCATTCCTTCTTTCCTCTCCTCTTGTTTTTTCTTTTTTTAATGACTCTGATTACCTATGTGTTACTGTGTTCTTTTTTTATATACCTTTTTTTCCTTTTGGATATTTTTTATTGTCTTATCTATAGATCACTAATACAGTCTTTTTCCACATCCAGTATGCCATTAAGCACACCTAGTGATTTCTTGATTTCACAGGTGGTATTTTTTAGTTCTGGAATGTTCCTTTGATTTTTAAAAATATAATTCAATTTTCTGCAAAAGTTTATCTTTTCATCTATTATCTAGATACAATGCTTTGTTTTCTTGTACATATTATATCACTTAAAGTCTGTATCTTATAAATACACTTGAATCCTATGTTGGAGATGTTTATTGTTTCCCCCTGCCACCCAACTTAATTTTGAGAGAGAGCGAGCGAGAGAGAGAGAGAGAGAGAGAGAGAGTGTGTGTGCGTGCGTGTTAGCAGGTCTCATAATTTTTGTTTGTTTGTTTGTTTTTTGAGACAGAGTCTTGCTCTGTCACCCAGGCTGGAGTGCAGTGGCTCAATCTCGGCTCACTGCAAACTCCACCTACCAGGTTCACATCCTTCTCCTGCCTCAGCCTTCCGAAAAGCTGGGACTGCAGGCTCCCACCACCACGTCCAACTAATTTTTTTTTTTTTTTTGTATTTTTAGTAGTGACAGGGTTTCACTGTGTTAGCCAGCAGGTTTCATAATTTTTAAACTGATGCTACATGTGTCTGAAATAGTGTGGAGGCTCTGGATGATGTTATTTTTATCTAAATTAGAATAAACTGTCTTCAGAAGACAAATAGAATCTAGAATATTCATTTGATCTTATCGAAGCTTGTTTTTAGGCTTTGTTAGGGCATATTTCAGATTTGTCCTTATTCCAAGACATGTTCACCTAGAGCCTTGGCTTTTGTTTTTTGTTTTTTGTTTTTTTCTTAAATCCTGACATGTTTACTAGACCCTTTCTCCATGGCAGGGCTTTGGCTCCAACCTGTGGCTTCTCAGCACCATACAGCTTATTTGCCTCCTACCTGCTGTTTTCTGCCATTTCTTTTAGTGATTGGGAAGTGTCTTATATTCCATAAGCAACTGATGGATCAGCCAGTGAACTGAGGGAAATTTGTATGTAGATACATGGGTTCCTTCCCTGCAGGTCACTCCTTTATGGGGTTTTGTCTCTTAAATTCCATCTACTTTAACAACCCTGAACTACTCCTGCCTCTTAACTCCTCATAGGACTGCCACTGCATTCCTTCATTCTTGGGTTCCATTTTCTTGTGTCACAATTTGGAAAATTCCCTCAGGAAAAAAGCAAGGATGTCTGTTGTGCACATTCTTTCTCTTGAGGACTGAAACCTGCAAGACCTGCCTCTATTGGTTGCTTTCATCACACAGGGAAACAGCTACTGCATCTAGGCCTGAAGAGAAGTATAGAGGAGTAAGTACTAGAATCTTGAAAGGTCATAAAAGGCAACTTTGAGAGGAGTTTCATCTTTGGTCAAGTGATACAGCTATTCCAAAGTGATCTTACATTCACCTCTTACCAGGAATCCCCTGTGGTCAAACTCAGCTAGAAACCAGAAGGCAAGAAAATACATTAATGTATTCCACACAATTTGACTTAGCAGGATGAAGATCAGGATGGAAAAGGATATAGAGTTGTTTTTGAGGGAAAAGTGGAAGATACACAGGTCACACCTTCATTCCTCAGCATGTGCTCTCTTCCTTCCTTTGGGAAGAAGGTTTATACTCCTAGCAAAGGAGACACATGAAATCTCATCAGTTATTGTATCATTATAGGGTAATGTCAATTCAGCAATATTTTTCCTGTAATCTAAAATGTTAGGTATCACCAGTGTTCTTCACATAAAGAATAAGAGATGATGTCAAGTCCAACTTGTACTTTTAGTAAAGTACAAAAATGGAGAAAAGCAAAACTGCTCAAGTCTCTTTTCTGCCTCAGTAGCTAGTCATGAAAGTTGGTTAGTACAGCTGCATTCTTCCACTACCCTTTGCATGTTCCCTTTTACCCTCTGCTATTACTTTGGTTGGGTGGCATTATTTACCTGGTAGTATACTCTGTATCTCACTTCTGTGAAATCTGAGTCTTTGATATTCTTGAATTTTAAAGATTGTTACAGTTTTCCATTGACCAATACTACTAAGGATAGAAAGCTAAGAGATGCCCCACTGAATTTCCTGAGTTCCAAATATAGTGTTCCACCTATTGTGTAGTCATTGACTGGTTCTATAGAAGGCACTGAATTTCCCCCTTTTCATCAAAATCAGTCACCCTGCTCAATACGGTCCTTTACGTGCTTGTTGGTTCAGCTATATGAAGAACCCCTAAATGGCCAAAAGGTAATCTCAGCCATTTCATCAGTTTTCTGGTAGAAGTCAAGGCACCTGGTAGAAGAATGCCTCATTGAGCACTAAGGCCTTAAAACTGCCCAAGATAAGATTTAATGGATGAGATGTGGAAAAAAAAAAAATCTTCCAAGTGAGGTATTTAATGAGAAGGGTCCCTTTTACTTCTACTCCTTGGCAGTTTTGAAGAGAGGAACGACTCCTTCAAAGCTGCTGAAGAGGCATTCTGGTTGCCCATGTATGTTTTTAATTGTATGTTGATAACTTTTTTCCCCTTTGTTCTCTGTCTGGGGTCATCATCATCAAAAGAATCTAGGTAATCATAATTTTTATAACTATTGTTTCTGTGGCAACTAAGTGCCACAGCCATTTGACCTCACAACATCTTGCCCTCCATCTGCATTTCATCCCATGCTACTATTGATGATAAGTTGAGTAATCATGGTGCTACTACATCCCATAGATTTCCCACTTCCTATTATCCTTGTGTTCCTTGAATATATGGACAACCAGTCCCAGAATCCTATTTTGAGGGTCTCTTTTCTGGGACTATTTCTGATACAATTACTGTATCTGAGTCCCAGCAGGAAACAGATGGCATACTCAATTAAAAGGAGGATTTAATAAAAGGACTATTTAAAAAGCTATGGTCAGAGTACAGGGAAACTGCAAGGGGTGGTAAAAGTACCCTGGAGTTGCTAACAGCACACATACCACCCTCCCTAGGCTTAAAGAGAGAAGTGGAAGGGAAGATTACCAGAATCACTTAGAAGGAAAAAGTATACAGAGTGCCACCTGGAGGTAATCTGGGTTCTTTGGTTGAGAGGCACAGCCATCCTGGGTCTACTCCACAAGGAGGGAGTCAGAGGAATCTCTTATGTTCCTCAGAGTTCCTACCAGCGCTCCCCAATGGCAGGACCCAATGGAAAGCCAAAGGGCAGGGAAGACCTTTGATATAGGCCATACAGGTGAGCCTCCTCATGGCACTGGGCAAGTTGTAAGATAATGGAGAATTCGTAGCCGCACCAAATCTGTGAAGAGTTTCAAGAATGTTTGTGTTTGGCATTTTGTTTAAGAAGAAGGAAAATATAATCTGCTAAGAGATATTCTCAGACCAGAACTAAGGGTCTGATCAGCCCTTGAAAGGACAAAGCAAGGGCCTTTGAGAAGTCTACATCTCTGTTCTACATATTTGTTCAGAGGAAGAGTGACTTTTGTAAGCATCTTAGCCATACTGCAGTTCACACAAGTAACTAAGAAATATTTAAATGCTTACTCTGTGCTGTTTCCAAAATAACAAATATCCAGGCTTGTTTATATTTATCAAATTTACTAAATAGTTTTATTAACCAATCTACATATATATTATATTCAACATTCAACATAATATAAATATTTTGGGATAAATAATTTAAGTGAAACCATTTTAGAGCCCTTAGGGCTTACAAAAAGAATCTTAAAAGATCCATGTTTATAATCTTAAGATTAAGAATAATAGTTACAATAGGTAGCAAACCATACATTCAACAATAAATATAAAATTTAAATATTTAAATAAATAGAAGGCCTGGTATGTTTTAAGTGGGAAGCACTTAATTATCAGGTCAGTGTTGAGATGATGCTTTGACAAAAGGTAATCCATCTGTTCAGAAATTCTACAATGGTTGCTGTCTCATCAGCATATTCACACATCAGTGTTGTTTCAGATCCCTATAAAAGAAACATGTTAATTTTTTAAAGTACAGAGTAGTTTACCTTATATATAGTTATTCCCAATTGAAGTCTTATAGGCCTATTGCCTTTATTTTCAAGCTTACCAAACATATTAATTATTCACATTTTCTTGAAATGATCAAAATGAATGCCAAAATTACATATTTTGTTATGATACCAAATGATAGTAACATGGAAGCTGAGATTTTCCTCATTTGTTAATTCAGTCAATGAACACAAAATTTTTTTCCCTGAATTGGGTGCAAATAAACATTTAAATAAAAACAGATCTAGACAAATATTAAATGCTGGATGTGAAATAAACTTGATCGCTTTTCCTCTGAATATGTACCTATATTTGTTTAAGTTAAATGTATGAATTGATATGCACATTATACTTCTTTTCTAAATCTTGATTAGAGTCTCCTATTTTTCTACTTAAGTGAATCTCCTTATATTTTCCCCAAAGCAGAATAGAACTAGCCTAGAGTAAGCGAGGACATGCTTCTGTTTGGGAGAAATTTGTGTGAAGAACATCTTCATAAATACTTATACCTACCCCTACCCTATCATAGTATCAATACAGGTGAATTTAACAACTTTTGAAAGTTTAAACATTGGAAATTTTGTTCTGTGGACTGGCTTTTTAGAAACTAGGCTCCTCTGCTGAAAGAAGCGATTTAAACGCTTCCTCTAGTTGATAAGCTAAGGAGGAAATATTTTGATATAAAGTAATACTTAAAAGACAGCTTTTCAAATTTGAAGTTATTCCTACCCTGGGAACAAAAAGCAAGTGAGATAGAGTGTTCCTTTTAAATAAGTATTCTCTTTAAATAAACTGTTACAGTGTTCTGTACCCTCTTAAGCATAATTATTTAAATATTGTAATATCTTGGGGTTTTTTTATTGTAAAAAGTGTTTGGCTTTTGAAACACAGTTTTCAGATTTTTGCATGGTTTTGTCTTAAATTTGTATCAAGAGTTAAGAATGAGTTTTCTGATGTTAACTATTTTAGAGTAAAGCTCTTGCCATAGATAAGGAACTGAATCTGTCAGTGTCTAGATGACATTGATCTCAATGTATTTTTTAAATTCAACTGAAACAGTCCACTAATAAGTGATTCATTTGGACACAACTGGAGTTACTTTTAGAAATGTCTTTCTATTATTATACTTATGCTGCTTATTTAGGATAGCTATTAACTCATGAATTTTATACCTTAACAGATGGGATATAAAAAGAGAGAAGGGAATGTCTTTTACATCACCTGAGTCCCTTGCATATTTTATGCTTCCTGTGCATTTAAAAATACTTGATTCTGAAAGTGGGATTGCCTCTAAAAAGGTTGTTGTTTGTTTAGTCCACTGGCCATTGTAATGGCTCCAGGTTTTTTTTTTTAAGACAAATCTCTTATGGGTAGTCCTTCTATCAAATGATAAGGAAACACCATTTGAAAAGCATTTCAGGTAATCAGTATTGACTATTCCAGTAAATGATCTGAAGGAATTGAAAAATATATAATAAAATCTGCCTGCTTTCTGTGAAACTCAATTCAGTACCTTCTCTCACTCCCAGTTTTGTGTTAATGTGAAAAGTGATGGAGTTTGGGATGAGGCTTGTCCATTAGTAGATGGTAGGTGCAAACTCTGTAGCTTATACTTCCCAGTTAGTTTATCATCTAACATTAGAAACGATTCACGTTCACAGTGTACTTAAAATGTAGGCTAATTACATGCATGGGTACGTTACAAATACCAAAAATTTTATGTCACTTTGAAATGTGGTACTTTTCCCCTTCCATTTTTTTTTTTTTTATTTCCAGGAGAGCAAATAAAGTAATGCCTTACCTTTAGTTCCAGAACTATTACGTTGATATTGCTGATTAAGTCCTTGGTATCTCTTAAGTGAAAGTTTTTGCTTTGAGCTAAATTTAGCACTTCCTCCAGAGGTTTGAGTTCTTCTTCTAGACACTGAAGATGTTTCAATTCTGTGGCCTAGAATAATAATTATCATCAGCTCAGTTTCCACAGAGGTCAGAATCAGAAATTAATTTCTAATTTATTTTATTTGGAGTAGCAGTATGTAGTTTTTACCATTCTCTCTGTTCTCAGTATCACTGTAAAGATGGACCAGTAGAGTTTACATTATAAAACTGGAAAAACTGGGGCTCAAGTACCTATGACTAGCGTTAAGTGATAGTTGACTCACTGGTTTTGGATTAATTTGGCTTTGCAAAATGTTAGCATTTCTGCATCTAAATGCAAATTACAGATGTAGGCTGATTACTTTTCCAGTCTGCATAGAAAATCATTAGAACCAGATCAGTTAGAATATGGAAATATAAAAATCACATTCTATGATTATAATATTTGATAATCTAAGAGTTAAGAATCACAGAATGTTAAGAGACAGAAGGAACTATTGGATGCCATCTATCACAATCCTGACATTTTACACTAGGTAACAATAATCATGTAGTAGTGGCTCTCGATATAGCCTGGAGCAAGACACATTTAAGTGTGTCTAAATTTTTACTTTTCTACAATCACTACATTAAGATGCATTTCAAAAATATTTGTCCCAATAAAATAAAAGATTATAGTACTTTGGAAGGACTTTTGAACAGGCCTCCTGGTTCTATATTATATATAATATTTCGTATTTCTATGGTATATTATAATTTAAAAGAATTTTCTCCAAAATAGGCCCATTTACGTCTCACATCATCTTTTGAAGTAGGCAGTGAGGGATCATCTCCATTTTTAAAATAAGGATGCCAAATCTCAGAATTTGACCACATAAGTAGGTAGAGCCAGAATTAGATTTCAGTTCTTTCTCATTATAGCATTAACATAGCATCCTTGGAATCAAATATTTTTATTAGTTTCTAAAATTTTTTGTAAATGTGCAATGAGGGTTAAACAAATGAATAGAGTTTATCATTACTTTTGTTTTCAAACTGTTAGATTTCAGTGAATTCTACCACCCCCTAAATTATGCACATAATATCGTCTTTCTAACAATCTTTAGTGGGAAAGGTAGGACAAGACAATACCGATCCCCTGATATGTCCATCTATTGTGCTTTCAATTCGCCACTACAAATTCTACAAATTCGGGGTTAAGTTTTTGGCATGAACAATGAGGAGAAATTTTCTTCAGGAAACAGCATCTAGTGTCTTTATGTTGCTGGAGTTGCATTACGTGGCTCTGTTTAAACTAGAGTAACATCTGTAAGCTGTCTCCTTTACATCTTTCAGAAGAGTAGTTTGAAGCAGATTTCCCTTGAATTAATAGAATTTGAGTCAATGGGATTGCATCTGTGTCCCCTTAAATCCTATTATTTTCTGGCCTTGGATTCACCCTGGCACAAGCCCTTTCTGGCACCAAATTTTGTTCATTCTCTCTTAACTGGCACAGCTACTAGGTGGCTTTGCATACCTAATGTAACCTAGGAACTTGGATGATTATGCTTATGCTGTATCTGAATCCAAAAACCACCTAATGAAGCTTTTAATCTTGGGAAATAAGTCATATAACATTATAAGTCTCAAGTTCTATTGGTAAAAAGATAAAAATCCAAAATTTCACTTTGTATTTCTCAGTAAGAATTTTATCTTTAATACTACTAATAATAGCTAATGCTTATATGGTATTTACCTTATGCCAGACACGGTTCTGAGTGCTTTACATTTACTTACTAATTCTCACAAAAGTGTATTAAGTATATACAGTTATTCATTTAAGTAGACATGAAACTGAATCACAAAGAGAGCAGGTAATTTGCCAAAGGTCATGAAAGCTAGGACATGGCAGAGCTGAGATTTCACTTGAGATATCTGGCCCCAGAGTCTGTGCTATTAGTTAGTGTTATGCTGCCTCTTACTTAGGAACCTTTCCTAAAACAAGAAAAGATTTTTTAAGTTGGGCTTCTTGGAAATAGATTTTGGTATTTTACATACTAAAGTGGCATAATCAAATATTTTAGAGTTTTACATTTTTAAATGAAACCATAAGTCAACATTTTTGTTTAAAATTGTCTTATCAATAAAGTGAGAATATTATTTTTATGTTTTCTTCCCACCCCCACCAATACACAAATATATGTAAAAAATATAGGTAAAACTATTTTAATAGAGGCTTCATTATCAAACTTGGGTTTTCAAAAAAACAGAAATTAAAGTTACTCTTTACCTTAGATAAGCTGCTATTAATCCCATCTGTGCAATTTTTCATATTACTTTGAATTTTATTAAAACAGAAATTGAACATAAAAAATTGTACTTACCTTCTTGGGCATGTAAAACTTAAATGTGAGCATCCTGGTGAGTTTGGGATTCTTGTAATTCTAAGAAAGTATAATACATTGTTAATTAAGAAATGATCTCCAGCTAGATTACTAAATGTAATAATTTTAGTAAGAAAGAAATATACTTACATTAATTCCATTCAAAATCATCTGTAAATCCAGCAGTAAATGCTCCAGTTGTAGCTGTGTTTTCTTTGTAGAACTTGAAGTAGGTGCACTGTTTGTGACAAGTGCAAGACTTAGTGCAATGCAAGACAGGAGTTGCATCCTGTACATTGTGGCAGCAGTTGAGGTTACTGTGAGTAGTGATTAAAGAGAGTGATAGGGAACTCTTGAACAAGAGATGCAATTTATACTGTTAATTCTGGAAAAATATTATGGGGGTGTCAAAATGTTTTACATATTACACATATTTTCAAAGACTTTACCTGTCTGAAAAAACATTACCTTCATTTTTCCTCTTCTGATGACTCTTTGGAATTTCTTTAAACCCCCAAAGACTGACTGAATGGATGTAGGTGAAATCCCTCATGGTTACATTAGCCCACACTTAGGTGATAGCTCTAATTCATGCAATTAACGCCTTCTGTATGAAACAGTTTTTCCTCCTTTCTTTAAGGGGGTGGGGATACAAAAGTAACTCATGAAAATTTTCTCTTTGTCATAAAACTGCACTGAACATGTGAGTAGCATATTGTGGTGGACAAGAGCAAGAATAAATAGATGAAAAGAATAAATGTTTAGATTTGTTGATTAAACAGGAAGTATCTTGGTTTCCTGTTTCAGAATGGTTTTACCTTTTTATCCACACAATGAGCTAATTGTATACAATAAGATAGATTGCTTCTTACATGTCAGCTAGAGAAATACTAAGATTAGAATACATAAAATGCTTATTGAGCTTGAGGTACTATTTTACGCTGTTTTAATTTTAAAATGTTTATATATCTGTTTAAGTGTTTTAATGTCTATTGTACGTTTTTTAAAGGGTGCAATTGTTAAATACTCAGAAAAAGGTTTGCATTCAAGGATACTGATGCTAGTTTTATAATAGACTTTGTATGTGTTATGTGTAAACCAGTCCATGTTTCTCATTTTTATGTCTTTACCTCTTTAATGGATTTTTATTTATTCTCTAAATCACCTGGGACACTATGAATGTAACCATAATAGTTACGATCTTTTTTTTAGTCAGATTGGGATATTTAGGGTAGGAGTTCATTCATCCTCAGTAGCATGCACAAACTGTCTGAACAATTGTATGGGTATGTACTTGTAATTTAACCTGGGGACACTTGAGGAGATCCTCTCTCAGAGAGAGTCCTTGTAAAGCTTCCATTCTACTGCCTTATTTATTTCTTACCCGACCTTTTTTTTTTTTTTAAAGATGGTATTGTCTGTGTTTTTGTTTGTTTGTTTAAGACAATATTGTCTGGTCTTTAAACAGACATTTATCTAGCACCTATAATGCCTTCAGGTATATAGAAAGAGAGAAAAGAGAACAGTGTACAGGCAGGCATTTAGTCTAATTTAAGTCTTACAAACTTGTGAAGTGATGGCTCCTATTTTGCAGATTAGAAAACTGAGGCTCAGAGAAGTTAAGTAATTTGCTCTAGGTCACTCAGCCCTTATTGCCAGTAAGGGGCAGAACAAGGATTTGAAAAGAGAATGCTCTGACTCCAAAAATCCACTCTCTTACCATTTCTATTTTCTCAAAGAACCTGATTTGTAATAGGGAAGATATATGCATACACAAGTGTAGTCCTGGGTGATAGGTGATTGCTGCCCCAAGGGAGGTGGATATAAGGAATTTCGAATAAGGAACAATTAATTTAAACTGGATTTTGAGGAGGGTGCATAGGCAGGAATGATTAAAGCAGTCTAAGGAACAGTCAATTGTAATCTTTTACAAAGAACAGAGAAAAATGGTTCAATAAGTTTTCTATGCATTAGGTAATGTTCAGAGAATATAAAACAAAAATAAAGATTGTAGTCCCTCAAGTAGAAAAAAATGAAGAAAAGGTCAGATTAGGGCCAAATCTCATAAACTCTTTATTACGAAAAAATGCAAAATGTCTCTCTACATTTCAGATCAAAATCACATTAACACTGTTATAAGGGGAAGGCTATTTGGTAGTTGTGTGTCATTTATTTAATATAATAAAGTACAGCTTTATTATACTTGTTTTGCTTCTCTAAAGAGTTTCAGTGTCTAATCCCAGCATCATCACTCAGGCCTTTACCCTTCCAGAATGGAAGAATTCAGGCCCACACATTTTCCTATGTGGGGGCTTTTCCAATGAGGTCTTTGATGTTCTCCAGTCTTGATATTTATATTTCTCTGGCTATTTCCATTAGAGAATGGGGCAATATATGGCTATATTTCTGGGACCCTGTAGAAAACTGAGTTCTTAGACCCCTAGTATATCTCTACTAATGCACAGTAGGCACCATTATAGAAGTTGGCTTTTTCATTTCTTTCTTGAAATACTTGGGGGAAAAACTACATTCACTGTGACATACTTTCGCTTTCTCACATCTGACATATCAGCTGGCTTTCCTGGTTATAGTGGCAATAGTCAGTAGTAGACTGCTAACTACCACGTGTGTCATACCTCCTGCTTCTCCTTTTACTATGCAGAATTTTACTATTAAACAAGAAGCTATTTTTAGTTGCTTAGTATTGTTTGTGACAGCCTCTTAGACTCAAGAGTGGCCCAAGTCCTTTCAAAAGGGCAGCCCCTGTCCCTGAAGCTGCCTACCTAAGAGGTTGCTCAATGTGTTGCACATATTGTCAGTCCATCAAAGCTGACTTTCAAGGAGTCTGCTTCCCATAAATTTCTTCTTACCCTCTTTCACAGTTTTGTAAAACTTTAATTTGGTCTGTAGCTTGATGCCTATGTTAATTCATCTCTTGTCCGTTTCTATAAAGGCCTCTTGGTGCTTCAAGATTCAGTTTTGTTCCTTTCAAATTAGGAATATATTGTTGGACAATTTCCATACCATCCAGAGATAATTCAGCTAGAAGCTCTGTGTTTCCTAGGAAAATCTGAATGACCTCGGACATAGGTTGGTGATGCATTTGTCTTTATCAGCCCTATGGCCCTCCGTAATGAAATACCACTTTTGTAAATCTGTTTATGATCACAGTTATGTCTCTGTGGTGTGTGCTCTTCCATGTGGCAAATTTTAGTAATGTTCACAACCTTTTGGGATTGAAGAATTATTTCCCTGGTACTTTCAATTTTGCAAAGTATTTTCAAATTTATTGTCTCACATAGTCACATTTTACTGATAAGAAATTTGACATTGACAGAGGTTAAAGTGGCTTACCCAGGATCACATTCTTAATTAGTGTGAAGTTAGAGCAAAAACTCAAAGCCTCCCTGACCCCTCATAATCTCATCTTTTTCCAGTGTAAAATAGTGATGCTAAATTCTGGACCCATTAGGCTACATAGAGTAGGATGAATGATATTGTGCCCACTATTCCATCTCACTTCACTCTATCAGTGGCAGCTGATGATTCAGGGAAGGCATCATCCATCTTCACCTAAACAACCCTTTGAGTAGCCTTAGGACTTCTAAGAACTTGGAGCAGCTGAATTCACACAGAGCTACAAATGCTGAGCTTTGCTCATGTTTTTGAATCTGTTTCTGGGGTCTTTTAAAAACACCAGAACACTTGATGTTTTCTAACATTTCTCAATATCTGAAGTTAGACAATGATTGTATCCACTGTGGATTTAAGCTGCACTGTGCTTTTCAGAGTGCAGTGTTATAAGGCTAACATGGAAATACCACACTAAGCAGTTGTCTGCATTGGCAGCCAAGAGATACCTTACTACTTACATGTGATGAGAAGGGAAGAATCTTCAAAACCTTTGGAAATTTACTTTTTGTGTAAATATGAGACCCCTATGACAAGTCACACAGCAGTTACTAGAGGTAGAATATGATAGTCTTCTGACAGTAACAGTATTGGATTTGCAAAGCACTTCAAGTTTATAAAGCACTTTCACAACTATTTATCTCATTTCACATCTTTTAATTTACCACAAAATAGTTAAGGAGAGAAACGTGTGTTTCATATGGCTAGTATGTTTTTTCTTCGTACATTAAGAATTAAGCCTTACAACTGATAAATACTAGCTTTCTCCTCTGCCAAGATAAATGGTTTTATTAAAATTTTGTGAAAATAAAGTTATTTATATCTGCATCTAATTGTTTTTCCTATCTTATTTCTAAGTTCTCTGTTAACAGTTTGTTCTTTTCTTCTATAGTGGCTTTGGGTGTACCATTGACAGAGAGTCTGTTGTTCGTTATTCCTAAATCGTATACATATTTTAAAGATTCTGATCTGATTTTTTTTTAATTTTAAAATTTATAACATTGTCTAGTTAGGAAATAATACGTATTGATTATAGAAAATGTGGGTGATACACAGAATCTAAAAAAAAAATCAAAAAACAAAAATCAACTGTAATCTAATCTGCTAGAGATAACCATTGTTAACATATTTCATTTCACACTTCTACAGATCAAGGGTGAACAATTTACTATAAAAAACAATAATGCTAGAGAATAGGAGGAAGTCAAGCAAATCAACACATCTATAGGACCCATTCATGTAACCCATGGATATAAGGGGAGGGGCCAGCCTCTGCAAATGAGATGCATCTATAGTTCTCGTTACTGGGAAGAGAGGGAAAGCTTTCCATCACCTCATGGTAACTGTGCATTTTTTACTGGTAGAGCTTCTAGAAGTTGTTACATAGGTGGCTAATTTTAGAGTCATTTGCCTCATATATAATATTTTTAAATGTGTGAATATGCACCTCATTCTTAATTCTCTTCTCTATCCTTGACCTGTATCAGGCTAGTCCCACAGTATTGGACAAACAGCTCTGGACTTCTCACTGGATGATATTAGGATTCCTGTAGAGTTCATTTCACCTCTTAGCCCAAGTTTGTTGGCAGACTAACCCGCACAGACCTTCTGTCCCTTATAGGGTTGGATCTTCTGTTTCCTATAGTTTAGACTAATAGGGTAGACTATACTTGGATTATCTGACATCATTTCTCAATGAGGATAACTTGGGAGTATAGCTTACAACTTGTAAGAGCTGAGGTAATATAATGCTTTCCTGCCAGCAGTCCCTGCACTCTAGAATAGAGAACAACCAATTAATCAGAAAAAAAAAAAAAAGAAAGAACAAGCTCCACATTCATCCCAGGCTTATCTAAGTCCATTGGTACAGGGGCAGCTATGAGATA